CATCGCGGCAGCGGGACAGGGAACACACAAAAAGGTGGGAAAAACCTACAGACAACTTGGGGAAGAAAAATCTGAGCGTAAATGCGATTTAGTTGAAGGGGGAGAAGGGACTCTGGGAGGTGCAGAATATTCGGCAGGATAAAATTTCGCGCCAAGGGCAGAGCCAGACGGCTGTCCCAGGATCCCTCGTGGATATCGCCCCACACCAAACCTTGCGGTTTAAGTTCAAGGTCATTACTACCTTGACTCTGTTCAATCCAACCAAGTCACGTAGCTCCTCCAGCCTGTCCGTGGGAAGAGGAATCTCCAGGTGGGGAGAAGAAGAAGAAGAAAGAAAAGAAGAGGAAGCTCCGGGAAGAAGAACGGAAACCCCTCGGTTCTGAATTATTGCTTGGCCATTTCACTCACTGGAGGGACAGCCGTGACCACCTGCTGGGATTCGAGGCCGCTGCAGGACCTGCAGCCCTGGGCAGAGTTTCAGTGCAGAGCCACCGTTTCCAAGCCGGGTCCTCTGTTCTCACAAACCTGATTCACGGGGCAAACACAGATCGGTAGAAACACACAGATGTCAGAAGATGGACCCACTTAAATCAGGAGTTTGACGTGCACTAACAGCCCCTTTCCTTCGGCTCTTGGCTCCAGTCCTCTCGTGCTTTAAGCACCGATGGATGCTGAGCGGTGGCTGCAACAGCAGAGGTGTGACAGAGCTGAAGCTGTTTCTTTCCAGGGCTGCTTCACCGGTAAAGAGGAGACACATCTCGCTGAGTCCCACAACAAGGGACCCTTTCATTGATCGCAAAATGAGCTAAGTGTACTTAGCACCTCGGTGGATGAGGACTAAGGTGGGTAGCAGTGGTGACAGAAGCAAATTTAATTAGTAAAAAAGTACGAAACAAAAAGGTCAAGTCTTGCCTCTGCTGTGCTGCATTTAATCTGCACATGTACACAGGACTTCAAGCTCCTGGGTTGTTGGTTTTTTTTTTTTTTTTTTTTTTTTGCTGGCACACTTCCCCAAGCACGGTAACATTTTTTAACTTTAGTGGATGACATTTTGTAATATGTTTAAGGTTCTGTAATATTTTTTGCTACTAGCTTTTTGTGATTGTTGTTCCAATATGGCACTGCTGCCAGTATTAAAGTTTAATGTGATTAGAAAGCTCAATTGTTTAACCACGGGGTTATACTCTTTATCTATTCTAATCTGATTAAAATGCTTCTCTTCAGTAGCTTTCCGCAATCGCTTTATAGCAAAACCTGGGAGCAAAGCCACCAGCACTTTGGTTTGTCCCAGATCGAAAGAAATACCAAATGGGTTCCTTAATTGAGTATTTCATTTATTACTGTACAAAGCTGGGTCCAAGCTGCGGACCCAGCTCTGTTTGGCTTTAGTAGAGCTGCTCGGGAGAAAGGGCTTGTGGAAGCACTTGGATGCCTGGGTGAGGGTCACTATCTGCCCGCTTTAAGGGCGGAGAAAAAGGCATTTGGGGCCTTGCTGCCTGGTGCTGAGGTTGCTAAGCAATAAAGTCCCTACAAGTAGCTAATGTCACAGCTACATCTAAACCCCATCACGGCACTAAATTCATCACTGTAATTAAATTCTCTCCCCGCCTATGATGCCATCTCCTTTACGTGATGCCTAGTGGTAAACTAGTTAAATGCAAGCGAATACGTACACCTCTAATTTCCACCGCCATTTAGTGCTCATGTGCCACAATTTATTATCAATCTAAAGGCACTGCACAGAAAATGTGCCGCAGAGAATGCGTTTAGGCCATGACTAGGTAAAAGCACCAAGAAAGAGCTGGTTTAGTAAAACTTACCTCCTCTCCTTCAACTGTTGCTCTGACGGCCACCAACACTGGCACGCCAGAAGGGCTGGGAGGACCAAACACAGACGCTGCCATAACGGTGGTTTTGTACCACCAGACGCTATGCTTTGAGGGGCAAGGCTCTGGACCCACAGCTCTAGGCAAGCCTAGCTCGGAGCCCACAGTGAGAAAGTGTTCCTGATGTGTTTACATGAACCCTCGCAGCCGCATCTTAAAAGGTGGTGGTGGTGGGGGGTTGCTCTGCAGCCCACCTCCCTGCAGGATGCCCAAGACAGGGTCACCACTGAGGCCACGACCACTGACTCCAGGGGCAGCCGAAGCTGGTTGCTCGCCACCCTGGCGCTGCCGGGGCCTCCGTGCCGCTGCCTCTTCTCTCCAAACCTCAGCCGGGGTCTCCACAGCTGGTTGCTGCAGCCAAGGCAAGGTAGGAAAGGTCCGGGAGGAGAGTTGAGGTGTTTAAAGCAGCTACTACTACTTGGGAAGGAGATTGAAGAGAGGCAGCCCACCCTAGATGCGACATTTACCCCTAAGAGTCAAGAAAAGGTTCTCCCCTTCCATCTCTTGCCCAGTTTCTCCCCCTCCTGCAACGATTCCTCCTTTGGCAAAACAAATTTTGTTTTCCCTGCTGAGGGACACGCTGTTTCTGCTTGGCTGGGCTTGCAACCCACAGATTCCTCCAGCTAGCCTTTACCAGCATAGTTTAACAACAAGAACAACCCCCAAACCCAAACACATTCCTTTTCCTTCTAAAACAGCTTAAGGCACAGTGAATGCCACGGCTAGCATCGAGCAGCCTGAGCACCTCTGACCGGACTCTTGAGATTTCTTTGATTTCTGAGTTGTCTCAGAAATTGTCTGCTAATATTCAGGGGACCCATCCTTGTGATATGGCAACAAACAGAAGGGTATCATCAACCTTTAGCTAGAATTACGCTTTCTTATCCATCTGACATTATTTGGATTGTCCCAGAAGCATAAAGTCTAAGGCTTCCTCCATCATTCTGGGCAACAAGCAATCTAAGAATTGTTCTTCGTTAGCTGGACAGATTTATGTCAGGTGTGATGAGGCCACTGCAAATCATTTTCTGTCTCTCCTTTCTCCACGTCTCAGAGGACACCCACGTTTTAGGTAAATAAACTTGCCTAAAAGTTGACTGAGGCAACTGGGATGAGGATGTTCACTGGCCCTCCTTGGTGTTACAACATCTTGGGCTGCGTGGCATCAGGCACGTGTGGCCTTAATTCCATGTTTGTCACCACTGCTGCCCCGCCTCGCAGACTCATGCTTTTAACTCACCAGGATCTCCTACCTTTGTTCGTCAACAGATTTTTATGATCCATTAAAATTGCATCAGAATTAAATGGTCAAGTTTCTTAAGGAAAAGGAACTAGTTTCTGATATTACCTGGGTCACACTGTATCTGAGAACCAGGCTTGGATTTTCATTGTGCCCAACCCAGATCTATTAGGGAATCTGCAAAAAAATGAATTCTTAATCCTTTTGTGATGTTGAATTTTCACACCGTCACTGAGAACAAGTCTTGAGTTTTCAATATACCCAACTCCAAATCTATTAGGGAATTTGCAAATAAATGAATTCTTGATTCTTTTGCGATACTGAATTTTCCCCTCAGTTGCTCCTCACTCCGAATAGGAAGTTTAGAGCGGCAAATGAAATATCTTCAGATTTCACTTCATTAGCATGCCGTGAAGCAGAACAAACTGTTTTACATTATTTGCTGGAGATCCCTGGGGTTGTCTGGGGACGGTGGTCCTCCCGTGACGGTCCGAGCACACAGATGTCTAGGGCCACAACCTCACACGACAGCTCTGCGAACCTTCAGCTGCAACAATGAAGTCATTAATCTGTCTGTAAATCAAAACTCTGATGGTCTGGCTCTTCCAAGAAGTACAAGAGCAAATAACCCACTGGCAGACGCGTCTGGTTTCTTCTGCGTTTCTGTGCGCCGGCGTGGTTTTGTTTGAAAGGAAGTCATCTATTCATAGCCCACTAAATACCGCAAGGAATAAGGAACATTACTACAAATCATTAAGAAATTGCTTTTAGACTCATGCCTTCTTTGCAGATGTCTAAAGATAGAGCATACTTGTCTGCAGGAGATGTAGATGGGAATTGATTACCAGGAGGCTCAAGGTTCAGCTGTAAAACTGATGTTTCCAGCAAGACTGTCTCCTTGCATCAAATCTATGCTGCAAAAACATCCTCCAGCTGATCGGTACCAGCTGGCATTGAGGGGAAAAGAGGAAACGCCGCTTGCGGCAAAGTACCATAAGGCACAGATCTTACCTCTGCTTTAGAAACTCTTCTCAGTGCTGGAATTACTGGTTAAACAGCTGGTGCATTACCCTGGCGGGATAAGCACGCCCTCAGACTTTTCTGGCAGATTCAGCAACTGTAATTGATGGTAAATTACAGCATAAAAAATTATATCTTTAAACCGAGTCTGCACTGAACTACCCATATCTTTTGCAAAGAGTGAGACAATACTTTGAGTTATTACAATGAGTAGAATGAACTTTTATTTTCATTCGTCCTTCATTAATACCATACAATTAGATAACAGTATCTGGAAAAAAAAATAAACTTGAAATAATTTAAAACAGAAGGCACAGAAAACCAAACCCAACTATGCAGCTACAAGAGAAAGGGGAAAAATGATTCAAGAAGTGAATTAGTTCAGAAAGGTTTTATCGCTAGACATTCTGATCAAAAGCTACTGCACACAGAAACAAAACTGCACAGTTTAAGCTAACCCATGCTTTTGTTACATATACATATTAAAAAAAAAAAAATCTAAAAATCTGATTGTTGCAGGGTTTTGAATGAAAAGTGTAGTTTTTAAAATAAAACCCATGAAATCTAGTACATGTGTTAAAATCTTCCCTAAATTCTACACTAAGATGTACTTTACAAAAAAATCTGCATTAAGAACAAAGCATACAGTGAAACAGCATCTGGGGATGGGAGGAAACTTGGTGTCAAATCACTCAGAGTACCAAATAAGTTTGGTGTTTGTTTCAGAAACAAAAATTCCCAGTACAGTAATATACTGTAGACAATATTCTTCTGTACTTTAATATTATGAAATTAAACCAGTAGCATACATTACAGAGAGGAATAAAACCACTTCATTCAGATGAGATCTGTACTAATTTTTTGCAAAAGAGTAACTTTATTTCTTTTGAAAACAAAGCTACCAGAATTAATGACATGCGATAATATGCCCCGATACTCTACCGGCTACGTTTGAAAATAAAAGCTCATGCTTCACAATTGAAATATGCTGTGATTCTCAAATACATTCTCTGGTAATTAATAATACAATACAGAGGTCATTCAAAAAAAAATCAGTTCAGGTTGGGAACCTGGTTTATAAATGAAGCTCTTTTTCAATATGCAGAACACTGACAACACACAGGGTTAGCTCCAGGTCAGCACATTTCTTCCTTCGCTCCACCCCTCTTTTCTTAAACAAATGGGTGCTTAGCCTGCAAATATCATGGAAAGGCAAAGTCTAGAAGCTACAGGTTGGTTTGTGAAAATACTAAATACAATCCAAGACAAATAGTGTTACTCTTACTGACAACTTAATAGCAGGTGCTCTCCAAAGGAAAAAAAATAATATCCTGAAATGCAAGAGAGATTGCTTGGGCGTTTGCTATCAAGGCATTTGCACATTTGTCAGGAGGTGACAGAATAAGAGTGAACTTTGCAGCTGACTTTGCAGTCGGGCTTGAATGCAAAGAGCCCTCCTTCTAGCCTGCCCACCTGTAAACCATAGCATATGGTTTCTTAATAGCTTGCTTTTTTTCCCGGAAATAATTCTCTCATTTAGAAAGTACAAGTCAAAGTATTGTTTCCACACATGAATAAAGAGAGCTGACAACTACAATAGAAACGGTAAAAATGGATCTTTGTAAAAATGTTCATCAAAATTCTCTGACATAGCAAAACATTCATTTGTAAAGTAAAGTCTAACACTGCAAGCCATTCCCTCAAAGGCGACCCCGGGCACGCGTATTCTTGCCAGCGTTGCAACAGAAACTACTTCCACATTTCTTGTCATTATAGGATACAAACTCTGTAATATATTAAAGTTTCCTAACAAAGAGTCCAATTATTGCACTTTATAAAAATCCCAGTAATTCCAGGCTTTTGTCCTACTTTTCTATGAACACTGATGCCCTGCAAGAAAAATCTGGGGGACCAAGTAATTTCTGACGAGCAAGACGGATTACTTGAATCAGTCTGCAATACTGAACCAAAAATGGAAAGGCTCACGAAATGAAAAGACGTACCTTTGGAAACGGATTTTGATTCATAGCAGCAGAAAGGTGTGTCGCTGCAGTACTGACACGCTTTCTCTTCGCGGGGAAGAACGGGCACATGGCTATTACATTTATATTTCACATATAACTTGAGAACTGTGCAGAGAAACCTGAAGAACCACGAAGTTCTTCTGCTGACTCTACAAGCCTAATGGGGAAAGCTCAGCGACAGCCGTATCTGAGTGGGAGTTTCTCTGGGAGCTCGTGTATATTTGCATCTGCGTGAGCAAGGGATACAGCAAACAGAAATGGCTATTTCAGAATGGAAGGATATATAGAGTGAGTCTGAGAGGCCCATTAAAAAAAAAAAAAAAAAGAAAATACAGCAGTTTTGGCCCTGCTTATAACCAGCTGTATCAATAGGGAAAAAAAGATAGAGGAGGTTCTTGTGCCAGCTATCTAGAAAAAGATGCTGCTTGAACCGAAGTGATTCACAAAGCTATATGAGGCTCCCAGGCCAGCAAATCACGGTTAAAGTTACTTTGTTCCTCTGCTCCTTCAGCATGGGAACGAGTGCGGAATGGCTCATTCCAACCGTGGATAGTCCATTTACAGCAACAATCATATCACCACACCTGAAAAACACAAGAAGAAAAAAACCAAATGATGACTCCTGCTCTGCAGTAACTAGTTACACGCCAACAAGCAGCACTTTATTGCTGGGGTAACAGGCTTGCATCAGGTTGGAAGTATAGCTTAAAAAATGCAAAGGAGTTCAATTTTAAAGTCTGTTTTACTACTGAAGCTCATCTGGGAAATTCCCAAATCACCAGATATCACAAAGATAGTTCTGCATTAAGATCTGACCTGTAGGGAAACATGAAAAGAGAGAGTTGGAAAGATCTAATGGAGTCAACAGAGGATAATGAGGTAGCATGTGCATGACAGCAGTATTTCTGTTTGTTTGTGTGGATTGTAACACATTTACACCAAACATGCCTTTACCGTAGGAGGTGTAAGTAAAGATACTTATGGTTACCAACCACATTCCAACCGAGAACCTCGTTTTCAATGGCTTACAATTTTGTCAAATTTAACCATTTGGCTTGAAATCTCCCTCAGCAGATGGTTCAGCTGAGAAGCTGCAGCATCTCTATGTTTTGATGCAGGGAACAGAAATTTGGGAGGGGACTGTTTGCCAGCCTTGAGAAAAGTGACCTCGAACGGTAAAGTTTCAGCTTTTACAAGTTCAAGGGAAATTTCAAAAAAGCTCCCAAGTTCTCCCTACACTGAGCATGCTCCAGCTCCAGGCATCTCTTCTCTCCAAGTGCGTCTTGGCACCCCCAGAGCAGCCGAACATGACTCTGGAGATCAAACAGGACTTTTCCTGAAACTGATCCTGCCAGCTACGGGAGGCAGCAAAACCGGTGGCAAAAAGATGCTCTCCTGGTGTCCTCCACTAGGGCAGAGCGGAGGAAGCAGCAGCGGTGTGACCAGCACCAGTCCAATATACATCAAAAGCACTTCTCTGCCTGACCCAAGGTACCCCATCACCCAAACCACAACGCTACAGTTCACTGAGCGGGGTCTCGCTCACCCACCCAGCCCTTCTGCTGGAGTCATCGCCACCTTCTATAAAATCACACCAGACAGACAATGTCAGCAGAAAACTGCCGTCTTAACTATTGCACAGTGAAGTTGTTTTCTTCCTTCCTCTCCGGCCGAACAAAACATTTAGATAATTTAAACAAAACAGACAGCTTCAAAAAGCCCTGCCCCAGGATAACTCACGGTGCAGGTTCTAAGGAGCTCTCCCTTGGTTCATGGCCCACTTTTAAGTCCGTATTCTCAGTGAGACAGTACATTTGAACAGAGGGTACTATATCACAATACCACACAAGAGCATGCTTTCCCTTCCTTACAAGGGGGTGAGTGTGACCACAGCCACTCTTCCCCTCTCTTCTTAGGAACGATGCTTGAATTTCCATTTGTGTGAAGGCTTCTAGTTATTAATTCCCCAATCTGAAATTATTTACTTTGGGTTGAACTGAAATCTTCCATTTAATCCAAGCTCTTTCATAGTTGGCCAAAAAAAAAAAAAAGAAGAAAAATCTAATTTTTGTGTTCAGCCAAGCTATTTTTTCATTTATTTATTTAGTCATTGAACTGAAGAATCAATTACTGGCAAGGCTCTAGGCTTAAGTACATTTTTTCTTTAAGCTACTTTGTAAGTATATCTACATGTAAAAATCATGCCATAAAACTTCAAGTCGCATATTCTTTACTGCCACCTTCACAAAAGATCAGTTTATGAACAAGAGAACCTTCAATAGGAACTGTAAGTCCTAGTTCTGAACTAATCCCACACAGGGCTAAGGTGCATATACACGTATCAGAGCTCAGGGTTGCATCCAAACATAATGTGTAAGTAGAATCATATAATCTTTAAGGTCAGAGGGGTCCTCAGAACGTCTATAATCCCCCCTCCTGTTCCAAGCAGGGTTGGCTGTGAGATCTGACCGAGTTGCTCAGGGCTTTACCCAGCTGGGTCTCAGAAACCTCCAAGGACTAAGACTGGGCCTGACTGTCCTCACGGGGAAGCAGTTTCTCCTTATAACCAGTCTCAACCTCTTGTGCCCACTGTCTCTCTTCCCTTTGTCCTGCACCACTGTGAAGAGCGTGGGCTCTGTCTCCTCAATAATCAATCTGCAGGTACTGGAAGGTGCCCCTGAAGACATCTCTGCCCCAGGCTGAGCAAGCCCAGCTCCCCCAGCCTCTCCTTGTAGGGCGAGTGCTCCAACTCAGGCCCTACCAACGAACTGGCCTCATTTACCAGGGATTTTCCTGCCGGCTAATGCCTCTCAGGGAACTGACATGGGAATTTGGTTCCTTAACAATTTCTTCAGAGGTACTGACTTTTTCATCTACTTTCTTGTCTTTCCATTAAACCAGCAGCACCCATCTTCAGTACCAGAGTTCCCAGCAGCGGCTTCAGAAGGTTACACGAAAGCATAAAGCAGTTTTCCTCACTTTCCAGCAGTAAGGTCTAATTTTCGAGCTGTTCTCTAGGAAAGTAAAAATGCTACGAACTACCCAGCTCTGCACATACACGTTTCACAATGTGTCTTGGCCTGAAGAAGCGTTGGGGAGGGAGACAGAGACAGCAGGTGACACCAGCACTGCAGCTGGGGGGGGGAGGACAGGAGATGGCAGAGGTGCCAGCACAGACACCCCCTCCCCAGCAGAAACACCCCGTACCTCCCTGCATCACACTCACCGGGGAGGCAGGGCACTACCGGGCTGCATGATCCCCCCCCCAGCACAGGATACCACAGTGCACTTCCTTAAGCCATGAGTTTCACTGGCACGTATTTTAAAGTGTTAATTTTTGTTACTATTATTTTAGCTTACTTTAATCTTCCATCGAAGTACGCGGGAGTTCCAAGAACAATCGTTTTAATGAAGAAAGGCTGGTTTGTGTGGTTCTCCTCATAGCCACCCACGATGCTGAAACCCCAGCTCCCCAAATTGCTCCGCCGCAGTACTACGTCATGGCAGCTATGCAGGCAGCTGTGGAATGGAAGCACAGGATAGCAAGAGGAAAAGCGATGTGTACGACATACAGATATTTTTATAGTAGGAACAACACCTGCTGTCTCATCATTACCACTGTGCTAAGCGTGGAAGAGAAGGGGAGGGATGGTTAGACTTCTGTTCCCAGAGTAATTTTGCAATATTTGAACCGATTACTGAAAAACCCCTCAATCCTGAGACAGGTAAGTGTTTCAAAAGAAATAACGCAGTGCTAGAATAATTAAATACAGCTAAGTCTGTAAACTGACAGTAACAGAATGGCAGTTTAGGGATTTCACAGGTGTCAAGAACGTGGGTGGAAAATGGATACCTGATGCATTTAGTTTGCAAGTCAAAAATGCAGTGTGTTTTTCTTCCACCCCCAGTCAGTTTAGGCTTGTTCTACTTTAGGTAAAGATCTAAAAATCTAGGCATCATCTTCGCTACCTCTGACCTGATGCATCATTGTAATGAAAATATAAATGATTGACCATTTTATTACACAGAACGTAAATAATTCAGATCATGCTTCACTAAATGTACTGGTATATATTATCTCCCCCAGTGAAAATTAATTCTTGCCAACGAGGTTGGCAGTGACTGTAATTGAAGAAAAAACAAACATAGAAATTAACTTTTAGGTAAAAAAGATGCCAAGTTCTTTACTGATGTCCAACACTCCTTGAATGAGTAGCAGCACAATGCATAGCATAACTTTAGGAGCCACGCATGGGCATCTGTAGTATAAAAGCAATAAACCACTGCTAAAGCATGGAAAGGATGTACATTTACCAAAATACTGAGAGCTCTTTGTTGAGATTAGGTAACTCATTAATACCTGAATGGAAGAAAAATTAATTGATAGCAAAACTCAGAAAAAGTGTGAAATCTTTGGAGGGCCAGTGCACGGTTCTATCATCTTCAACTGCCATTCTGCTACCAATACGCCTGGTTCTTGTTGTGGTTTTATGCTTAAACTACAGACCCAGGCCCAGTAACTCTTATCTGAGGGAGAGGAATAAACCTGCGCACCCTGACTGAAGTTAACAACACTATTTGCTGCAGTGGGAGCTCTTCTTGATAGCAAGCAATGCTGGAATGAGCTTATAGCTGTAGCCACAAGACAGTGAAAAACAGAAGAGTAAAAATGAAACACGGTTATGTCCAGCAGACTGCGGATTATTCAAGGGGAGGGAGCTCGCTACAAATCTGGAAGTTTTTGTGTTTGGCAGAGACGGCAGTGGGTTCTTGGAAAAAAAAAAAAAAAATGGCAATTTGTAACTACAGGCTCGTACACATGCAAGAGACCTGCGTCAAGAATGTGTCAGAACAGCAAGTCTGATCCAATATTCCAAAGTTATACATTTGGCCCCATAAATTTAGGTAGCAGATTAGCAGAGACATGTGGGTATGTACTTTGTATTTTTATTAACAATCTCTCTGGTTTTAGATATTCTACACAAGGTTACAATATGGTTAAACAATAGGAAAGATGACTTGTGTTCAATATGAAGAATCCACATGGGTAGTTACTATGGTTTGTGAAGGGATAAAGCAAATCTATTCATCTTCCAGTTTCCTATGGAAACATTGCTCCTGTTCACAGTCCTCTTCATGAGCGCACTGTCAGCTGAATACAGCTGAGATGGATCAGGCAGGCAGAAATAAGGGCAGATGTGCTGCAACTAATAAGGTCACTGCTTTGGTATCTCCCAGACTTAGCTTAAAACAGGTAACTGATTACTTTATTGATTAATTCCGTACCTTGGAAGTCCCAGCCACATGACCCATGATGGTGACCAGCTGGCATCGTATTCATTTTCACTGATGGTACTCAGCTGCTCTTCATTAGCCTGGGGCTGTTCTTCTACAATCTGGACTTCCAGGGCTTTCAGGGCAACTACCGAGGAGGCAGCACTAGCTTTCAGCATGGCCACTGCCTCGCTGTGACTTAGGTTAGTCAAATCAATGCCGTTGATGTTCAGCAGCACATCACCTGTCCAAAGGCACAAGTGAGAACACACCAGTCTGTCAGAGTTGTTCCTACTTGCCCTGGTTTCAGCTGGAAGAAAGTTAATTTTTCTTCTTTGTAGCTAGAATAATGCTGTGTTTTGGATTTGGGATGGGATCTGATATGAGAAGAATGCTGATAACACACTGATGTTTTCAGTAGTTGTTAAGAGATCACGGACTCTCCAACTCCCCATGTCCTGTCTGTGCGCAAGTGTGCAAGAAGCTGGGAGGAGCACGGCCAGAGCACTGGACCCAAACTGGCCAATTAAATATTCCATACCATGTAATGTCATGCTCAGTATGAGGGACTGAAGGAGCAGCTGGAAGGAGGGGGGGTTCTCTTTTGCTTTTGGGATTGCGACTGTTGGATCTTGGCATTTTGGGATCGCTGGCTGGGAACAAGCTGGGTATCAGTCAGTGGGTGGTGAGCAATCGCATTGCGCATTGCCCATTTGTACTTTCTATTATTGTTATTGTTTTATTTTATCACAATCATTCAACTGCTTTTATCTCAACCTACAAGTCTCCCTTTGCCCCTCCAATTCCTTCCCCCATCCCCCTGGGCAGGGGGAGGGTGAACGAGCGGCTGTGTGGTGTTTGGCTGCCGGCCGGGTTTAAACCACAACACTACCGCCAACACCTCCCGCACCAGGGTTTCATTTAATATTGTGGTTTTTGGAGCTGAGACAGTCTGAACTAACAGCCTGGGAATGTGAATAGCTCTGAAGCCTTATACTGTCAGTTTGAAACATTAACGTATTGAACTATTATGCTGGATCAGTATCATTTACTTCCACATAACACATCAAATGCTGTGGCTTCTATGGTATATGGCCCTGAAAATTTGAGATAGAAATTACCTAAGCACCTCATCATCTTGGCTGCAACAGCTATAGCAGATGCCACTACATAATTGTTTCCAGTGGTGGATCCACCATAACTTTAAAAGGGAAGGAAGAATGTTGGACGGGAACAATACAGGCACCACAAAGTAAGCAACTCTTGCAGATAAGTGAGGGTCCACAGAGTGTTTTAGGTCTTCCACTTTTTCTACTTTGTTACTCAGGAGAATGAAATGGAATTCAAAAACCACTGGAAAGGTTGGTGCAAGAAACGGTCCATTAAGAGAAAGAGCATCTCTACAAATCTAGAAAGAGTTGAAGCCACCAAAAAACCTGCCACAATTTTTATTTCATTTCAAAACATTTTTAAAAGCCTCAGGATGAAAGCAAGAATGTTATTTACTGTCCAAGCAGTGACACTCTTCTCTTTCACACAATGTCTCACTTACTGATGAAAGCCAGAAAAACCAAAGCAAAAGTGCAAGACACCTGGGTCACATTTGGAAGAAGACTCATTTTTCAAAAGCTTTTTCCTCCCAGGGAAAGCTAAAGTTGAGGTGCAGCTTAACTTGAAATCATTTTTGTTGCTGCTGTGGCTACTTTAATGTTACACAATGAAAGAGCAATTGCGATTCTTCCAGCAAGTGTGTTTTTCATAGTAGTACAGAAAAAGAAAGCATACCCGTTGGTATGTGGGTGTAAATCTCCCTCTCTCAGAAGCATATAAGGATGCTCCCACACTGTTCTTTTTAAATTTGCAATCTGTGAAGTTTCTGTTCTATATTTCTTTCCGAAATCAATCTGTAATTCTCTGAATGCTGAATCACAGAGATCCCACAGGCATTCATTGTTTCACATACACCACAATATGTCTTAATCATCAAATGCCTTGGTATCGATCTGCCTTCACCTACACCCAGTCTAACCTCCACCTCCTGGTTCCCTTCTGCAAAGCTAAGGAACACAGATGGGTGCTGTAGCACCCCTGAAGACCAGCAAACCCAAGCTGTCCTGGAGGATAAGAAAGCATTCAGGAACCAGAGCCAACACTGACGCAGCCTTGGGGGTGAACTTAGCACAGGTGAGCTGTGGCCTCTCATCAGAGGATCTCTGCTGTTCAGAGACTACACCGAGTAGCAGAGATTCCTTGGACAGAGATGGGGCCCAGCCCCCCAAATTAAACACAAAACCAGGATGTGTGCTCTACAGCACAAAGCACCGCACCAGACCCTCAGCTCAGGGGATTACCATCAGCTTTAAAGAATTTAATCAGACATTTCCTGGCCTTATCCGCTTCCACCGCTATCATTCTCTAAACATCCCTTTCCCAGAAAAGGTGGAAATGTGAGACTAAATACTCCGTTTCCATTGTTAAAACATGAAGGAAAGCATCCATCAGCGCTCCCAGATGTCCGTGGAAAGCCTTTTTGACACCACCTCACTCCAAAGCATGTACTCATCAAACAGCAGTGAGAGGCCACCCATGCCACCAGGAAAGCCAAGCCCCACCTCGTTTAATCCTGCCATCTCTTGCCAAACACCCGTGAGGCTGTACACTTGTCACAAAGATGGGCAGTTCGCCACTTTTGCTGCCTCTGCCTCCTGCCACTGTCATTCCCAGAGATTCATGCGGCTCTTTTTTCACAGTAATGTGCTTTTCTTGGCACGTAACGCACTGGGAGAGATCCTGTTTGACAAGAATAAATAACATTGTTAAAACTTTAAAAAAAAAAAAACAAAAAAACCACAACAGAACAAAACACAACTAAATACACCCCAAAGCTATACTTTGGCACTTTAACAGAATGGTTTAAAACGACTAAGTAGTGCAAATCGGCTTTGGCTGGATTTCCTCCAGGTTAGGAAAAAAAAAAAACCAAAACAAAAACAGAAGAGCCACTCATGTAGATACTTATATATAGGCAGAAAGTTTGTAACGACCCATCTTGAAAATCTCACTCCAGTTTTTCTTAGCATCCTACACTGGAATAGGCTAAATTTTAGAACTGCACTATAAAACCACATGGTCAAAAGACTGGACACAAAACAGAAACAAATCTTTTGATGTCTTGGTGAACATCAGCATTACCTCATTTGTCAGTGGAATATGGCCCTGAACTACAAAGAAGCCTCAAAGAAATTATGACAAAGAGAGACCACTTAAAGTCTTTATACATCAGGTTTTCCTTCACAGCTGGTACAGAGAATCTCCCAGAGCACAAAGTAACTATGGCCAATCAATGCCATAAGGCTGGTAATAGATGCCTTGTGCAGACTCCCTAATGATTACAACAAAGACCCAAACTTGAAGCAAAAAGAGATCCTGTATTTAACTTTCTAATGCCTGACTTACAAAGTTCAGCCCCATCAAAATGATTTATACCTGAATCAAGGTATATTTTAGTTGCTGAAGCCCTTCTTCTTCAGGGTATTTAGAGATACATTCAAACCACTGCACGTAGACCTGTAGGAGCATCTTAAATTAACATAATACTTGTAAGGAATCCAAAATAACAGAAGAAATAATCTGGGAGATTCTTCCAACCACAAATACTTATTTATTCCCCTGAATTCTCTTGGAAAAAGGCAACACTCTTTCTTCAATCTCCAATGCTCCTTTTCGACTGACTCTGCTCCTCACATATACACGTTAATCACATATGCAGCTGTATGTATACATACCATAGCTTATGAAGACAGCTCCTTCTTAAGTCTTCAGGCTTTACGACTAACTGGCTGATGCCATGCAATTATATAAACATATTTTAAGCCCCAAGACTTCTAAGCCAACTGTAGGTTAATGAGAGAGAGGCAAAGATAAATGGCATGCAACAGGGGAAACGTCCACTTGCGGTTACATGGGACTTCCCACTCTGAAAGATCCCACGGACAGAACAGACACGTGAGGGGAATCAGCTCAGCCAATGGATCAGCTTTGGATCTGCAATATGAACACAGCCCACGCTGGCAGATGGGAAGTGGGTTCAAGCTCCGATATAGATGAGCTGTGATCATTGTGCTGATATGGCCTAATGCTGTGGCAAGTACTAACGGCCACTCACCTTTATCCCTCAGGAGGAAAGCAAGCTTCCTAGAGCCTCACTTGTTCTTTTCTGAAATTACCCAAACTTTTCTAAGAAGATACTACCGACACCTGTAAATCCTCCCAGCAGAAGTATGACGTTGAACAGTGATGCTAACAGAGTGAACAGGAGGAAAGGTAGCTTGGTCGACATGATCAACACGACAATTATTTCACAGAATCAACTTCTCAACAGTGAAAAGTCCTATTTTTCTAACTACAAGAACATCTCAAGCACAGGCTTTATTTCTGCAGGTCTTCCAGGTAATCTGACACTGGCTTCATGAAAGGCTCTTCATTCTGCCTGTCTCTCCATGCTTGACCCTGCAGAACTCGGCAGTCTTGCGGCCAGCACTGCTGGCCCACGGGGGAGATGGCACATCCCTCCAACATGCTTTTTATACGTTGGATGGTGTGCACCACACCTCCTGTCCTTGCTGGCTGCAACCAGCACAGTGGCAACAAAAAAAGCAATGTTCTGGAATGACAGCTCTCCCATGCAGCAGCAACACATGCACCACTGTCTCAGACAAGGTCTAACAGCTACAGCTGCATCAGCTCAGAGAACTTGCTCTTTCACTGCAGCTGGCAAATCACAAAAAACAGTGAAAAGCTGCTGCACATCTTTCGTTCCCAGTCCAGACATGATATAGGACTTGAGTACTTGGAAGTCATCATCTTTTTTTTTTTTTTTAAGTAGGTAACAAAGAAAATATAACCCTTTTTACCAGTCTTCCCTTGCTACATACTTAGACCATCGCATGAATAAAATGGTATTTATACCTCTTAGAAGGAGAAACACCAACCTTATGCGAGTTGGGCCTGCTGTGAAACAGCTGCTGGGACTGGTGTTGGTGTGGGGTGCTGTTGTGAGTCCCGGTGTCTCGGATAATACTGACTGTCTGTGACTTCAAGGGTCTAGAGATGATCAAATTCACTCTCTCCCCACTAGCCTGTCGAATATATAAAACAAAGTAATGAAGCTGATAGGATATTGATTATTAGCAGAGAGGGAGGAAAACCCATGATGAAATATGAAACAAGACAACGGCAGAACTTGTTTTCCAGTTGCTGGGGTGCCACAAACTGCTTAGACTGCACAGTTCCTTACTTGCATCTTGCTGCAATTCCTCCCAGAACAGAGGGGAGATTAACACTCCTCCTTTGCCTCCAATATTACATCAGCTGGAAATCCTTTGCCAAAAGGACTGTTTCTCACTTTGTGTTGTGAAGCTTCAAACATTAAAACTCATCCAATTCCATTTGCAGCCTCTGTGAACTTCTGCAACATGTAGCAATAAAAGAAAGAAATGCCCACGTGATGGCTCTAGGGTCTGCAGAACCGGGTCAAAAGCGCTGAACACCTCTGGTACTTCCCAAAGAGACTTCCAAGAACGATGTTATATATGAGCAGACCATCAAATTCTGGAGTTTGAAGAGTCAACTCTTTCGATTGCTGCAAACCCACCCCTCAACAGGTACAAATTACTCAGTGTGAAATTCTGAACACTTCACTGTTTCTAAAAATTGGGAAACTGAAATGACAATTCACAGATGATTGTTATTTTCTTTTAACTGGAGCGGAAGCCCTTGAAACGATTCCTGAAACAAATTTTTACTACTCATTTGTATCGGAGTTCTTTATGTTGTTCTGGGTTAAGCAAATATGACTGCAGTAGACTGCAAAAATCTACTACTGGTCTATTCCAACTTTGCTAAAACCAGAGCAATTTTCACCAACATCCCATCATCAGGAAGCAGCAATGTGCTGCAGCTGTTTCCTTACAGACTGGGAGAAAGGCATGGAGTAAAGCTTTTCCTGTGGGAACAGTGAAGGTTCATAAGCTTTGGGTAATATCTGTGTCCAAAGCAGAGCCAGATATTGGGAACAGCCCTTTCTTGAACACTCAGAAAATTAATTTTACTGCACGGGACTCATGGTAGACCTATTTTTGTAAAGGCAATAGGTAGCAACTAGGAGGACAAAGTCTGACAAATCACGTTCCTGTTTTAACCCCGATTCCACGCACAGGCAAATCAATGCAAAACAAAGGTGGCTTTTCTAGAGCTTACTCAGAGATTAAAACTACAGTACGTACACAAATATAATGACCATCCTCATTATTTTTTCTGCTAAGCAATAGGCTACATGATACTCTCTTTGCTCACACGAGCAGCCTTCTAACCTTCAGCCTGTATGCCAGGGAAGACGAATGCACTTTTCACTTCTGAGGAGGTGAAGTTGCATCTGCTAGGTGCCAAAGCAGACTCTGCTTTGCGCTATTATTTCCAGAACATAAAGCACAGCAAATTGCATCGCTGCAGGCTTTTAGGAGTTACACAAGCTGTTCTGTCTGGGACAGACTCTACCCCAGGCTTTGCCCGAGAGATAAAGCTGAGCTAAGGACTCGGGTAGGGAATGTAAATTACCTGTATAACCTGAGCAGCGAGCTCAGGTGTCCCGTGCTTCAAGTCATGTCCATTAATTGCAAGTACACGGTCGTTGCTGCAGAGCCTGCCGTCCTGAGCAGCCAAGCCCCCTTCCAAAAGGTCGAGAATAAAAACCCCTGGCTCGTCTGTTCTGCGCACAAGTTTAATGCCAAGCTGCTCGCTGGAGTCGCGTTTATGCAGTGTCACTTGGAAGCTGTCTTCCCGCGAGGAGCTGGTGGTGTCCCCGTGGTTGTGCGTGCGGCTGCCGAACCGCCGCTCCCTCAGCACCGTGAGGTGCAGCACTGAGCAAGGCTGGGAAAGCACAGCTCGAGCGTGGTTGTGAGACACGTTGCTTATGTCAAAGCTATTGACCTGCAAAACAACAACAAAAATCCGAATGGTATTTTCACATGTTTACTTGTTCCTGGTCATGGAAATAAAGTCCTTTCCAAACTAAATTCAGAGCTTACTGCAAAACCAGCCCTGGAGCAACCTACGTATCTGATCGTACCAGGCTTCCTCTCCTGTCCTTCCATCCTCTCCTGCAAACCCACTTTGGCTGCTCAGCCTACAAACTGATTTTTAGGTTGGAAAAGATCCTTAAGATCACTGAATCCAAGTCCACCACCAAACCATGTCCCCAAGCACCACATCTACAGGTCTTTTGAATACCTCCAGGAACAGTGACTCAACCACTTCCCTGGGCAGCCTGTTCCAATGCTTGACAACCCTTTTGGTGAAGAAATGTTTCCTAATAGCCAATCTAGACATCCCCTGGTGCATCTTGAGGCCTCTTCCCGGAAAGATGACAACATCTCTCTAACAGCGAACACCTTCTGTCATCACAGTCCACGGTTTTTGTTCTCCTGGTCTCCTACACCTGTCTTCCTTAGATCTTTATCTTGTTTGTTCTCCAGGACAAGAACTTTGCACGTGCTTTCAGTGTCAAGCCCAGCATCACTTAAAACTATAAAATATTAGCTATAAAGAGAATACATCCAAATCTCTGATGAAAGCTTATGTCTAACGAGATGCAAGAATTCCATGATGTGAAAAATTAAAACAAAACCCCTTGAAATCCAGAGTAATGAAATTTGCTCGTTAAGAGAGTAGAAAAGGGTGGTTGCATTAGTTCTCAAATCATAGCATGAACTTAGGAGATTTTCCACTTTAACTAGGTCAGAGTTTGGGACTTACAACCTGTTATCACTCAAAATTCAGTTGCAAACGAAATACAGATTAAGCTTTCCCTCCCTGTAAACAAGAATTGTGTTCGTTACGCGGCCCACTGATACAAAGATCATTAATCCTCAATCATTTCTTGCACTACAAAGTTAAGATGAAAATTGACAGCGCCATGAGATTTGCCAGAAAACAGGAACACCACCAAAAACCAAGCTGCATTTGCCTTGTTCTGCAAGAAGTGGTTCAAAATTAACATTAAAACTTCATCCTTAGCACATGCTGTTGTGCCCTGATGGCCAAAGCCCTGCCACGTAATTTTAGCAGATAGAAACTAACGCCAAATGGACTGTACTGACCTGCCTTACCTAAGCCTTTTAATGGTCCCCACTGCGACCTAAGTACGTAAAAATATAAACTTGCAGCTTCCCACTGTTTAATATCAATATTAACAGTTAAAAAAAAATAGAAAGGATCCAGAGATCTACGTATGACAGCCACTGCATTTACATCCTGCATCTTTGTCAAGGGGCTCTGAGAGGTCAGTGCCAAACGATTTGGCTGTGGTGGTTCCAGCACGGCAAAGGGGTGCCCGTAGCCACCGGGACCCTTCCCCTGGCAAGAGGCTGCCGCTCCAGCAGCGAGGAGGGAGGCAGCCCTCCCGGAGCCACCTCCATCCTCCAGCCCGATGCCGGGTAACAATCCGTCACTCCCGGCAGCACCGCAAGCTCTGACACCGAACCACGGCCGTGTCCCGGTCTGCTCCTGCCCCAAGACAGGCCGTAACCTTGGGCAGAGGGAAAGGAGGCACAGCTAGGAGGAATAACACTTAGAGCTGCTACCAGCAAAACCCACCAGGGCTCATCCGTCAGAGCCCTTAAATTAAATCTAGTTTTATTTTTAGCTGTCACTAGCTAAAGTAAATACATAAAATATGGAAGCATTCAAAGGGCACAGAAGAATATATGCAATAAAACGTGATTCTTCTTTCTACAAGGCAGTTCACAATTTCAGAATAAAACAGCCTTAGCATTTCTCGAGGAAAAAGATTCTCATTAGGACTTGCTTTACATGAATTACAGTCACAGTCCAGCACAAAAAAGGGACAATTTGTAGAGCACTTTGAAAATGTTAGGCACCTATCTATACTTTGCAGACAACCTACGCTTTTATGTAGCTGTTACTAAATGCCGTTCCCTCAGATCTTGAAAGGGTAATACTTCTTGTTTGACTAGGCAAGAAACTGCTGAGTTTCACCTTGCAGTCCTTCCTCGCTTTCTTTTAGCCCTTTACTGCTCATAAAAACCTCTGAAGACATTTTCAGAAATATCCGACTGAAGCGTGCGTGCTGAGGTACATCTAACTCTGCACTTAATTACAGCCAGCAGAGACCAAGCCTGGTCATTTTAATACAACAGCTCAGCACCTGCACAGGTAAATTCAAAGCAATAAAGATACTGTATCTTCCAAAAAGTCTGGCTTTTACCTCCTGTACCTATCCCTCAGCGTGACAGGAGGACTCTGATGGACACCTCGCTAGCATCTGACAGCCCCAGTGCCAGCACATTGCTAGGGAAGACTCACTGAAGGTTATAAATCCTATTTATAATCCATTTATTGCCACTTATGGCTTTAGAAAGTATAATGGACCCCTGCCCAAACAGCAAGAATTTCCAAAGCTTTGCTGGAGCTCAAGCTCCCTATTCTGGCAACGAAGGAGGGCCCTTGAGTATCGAAATAAATTAGGCAGCATTCAATCAGTGTCTGCAACTGCTTGTTAAAAAGGCAACATTTCGGAAACCTCTTGGGTTGCTTTCTTGGCCTGCCACTATGCTAACACTCCAAGAGAGGAAAAAGGCACATTTCTCAAAGGGGACTTTATTTTCTGAAGTGCAAACTAATTTCATTCCAAGGGTAACTGCAGCATTTAAGCTACTGCTATCATCTTGATTTCAAAAAAAGTGAAGTGAAAAAAGGCTGATACTAATTTTGGACTGATCTTAGGCTATCAGATCAAAAGCAAACATTGTTACTGAAGTCAGTTTGAAATGATGGCAAGATATTTGTTTCAGGCAGAGTGATTAAAAATAGAAAAAAGCTGGAGGACTGTCTCATTTATGTAGAACTCAGTGCCGTTCTTAAGAGTACTATAAACAACCCCTTCCCCTAGTATAAGATCAAAAGTCCAAACTTAACAGCATTTGATCTTTTTATACTGTCTCTGGCTAATTATCTAAATCCATAACAAAAATACACATTCGATCATAACCAACTTAAATTTTAACTGTTTACTTTTTTTTTGAAAAATATTTAGAGCACCTTGCTTCAAATCATGCCAGTGAAGACCTATCACTGACTCTTTTACACATACTGAGAAAAGCAGGTGAACTGCCCAGGCTATTGGAAGGTAACAGTGAAGCCAGATTAAAATAACAGCTTCGGTGAAGTCAGCCTTACAACCCACAAATTGCTTTTTACATAGGACAAACTACACCAACTTGTTAGCCAGAAGTAACCTTGAGTTCCTTCAGAAAGCATACATGAAGTTGAAATAAAGACAACATTTAAAAAACAAAACAAAACAAAACAAAAACAAAACAAAACCACCTCATATTTTAAACATTGATAAAAGGTGTTAAGGAGGAAAAACAATTCCAGGGACCGATCCAACAAACAACATAAAACATCATAGCCAGAAGCACTAGAACAACAGGCTCTGCTCTGAATATTAATTTGCTTTCCAACTGATAATTGCAAAGCTAACATTTACACAACATAGTCTGACAAGGAAAATCTCCCATCTCATTTAACAGACAGTTCTGCAAGGAGTGAATGGAAAGCAAGCAGAAAGAATACATAATTAGGCTCCATACTTGCAGTATTTGGTCTCCAGCAAGAAGTCTTCCATCTCTGGCAATGATCCCATCTCGGTAGACCTCTTGAATGACAATGTTGATCAAAGGCGTTTCATTGCCACCCACTATGCTAATTCCTAATTCAATATAAGGATTGGACCGATGAATTTCAATAGTAGTGATCTCTCCTTCAGGCAAGGTAGGTGGCTGTTGATTTGCTGCCAATTATTTTTAAAAAGAAAGATGATTAATATCCTTTATACCTCATTCACTTTCAGTAAAGCAAATCACCAAAGGACAATGCAAACAGGCCACACGACAATGGCTTAACAAACGCAACAAGTGCAAATGGATTAGTTCCACTACTTGTTGGAATACCTAGATCATTAGAAACAGCTCTCTAATGACTTAGTAGCATCCATGCTTCCTGAAATGGGGTCATTTGGATTGGAAAGGGATATTCTGAACCCTTTGGATCTTGTCCTTTGTAATAAATTTCATACATTTTATATCCAACTGGGTCACTTGTACATTCAAATTTGGTGATGATGACAAAAAAAGCGTTTTTGGGGTTCCCCCATGGCACATGACTTGGTCATGCCTCTTCATCAGCTGGTCTCACAACTGCACTAGGAGCTGCTGTTGAGTTACTGGATCAAGAGAAGTCCATTTCTGAAGCAAGCATGGAGACAACTAAAGAGGAAAAAGGAAGATACTAAAGGATGGCAAATACAGATAAGGAAGGGGACAGGACCACCTTCCTCTGTGGTAAGGCTTGGCACTTCCTCTCTAAAATCCCAGATGCTAGAGACGGTACTGCTCGTTCGGTGCAGATGGATGCAGGAGTTACTCAGCTGCCTTTTCGCTCGAGCAGGACTGCACTCCGTGTGTGGGAAGGCTCCTGATCCAGGCCCAGGGGGAGGGGGAAGAAGGGAAAAGAAATCTCATCTTAGAAAACAACTTTTGCAACTTTACAGAAAAGACATTCCTTCTGTCTCGCTGCAAGGCCAGAGCTACCAGTAGATTAACATGAACTACTGCACCATGGTATGATACGTGATGTTACAGCACCATGATATCTAGCACCCAGTCCAAGATACTTCTTTCCTTCCTAACTGTGACCTTATCACAGTGGTATCCTTGCACATAGCCAAAACCCACTAATATTTCTCCAGGAATCGCAAGAGAAAAGAGCAGAAAATGAAGACATGCATTCATGGTTGGCAGGAGACAGGCTCTGACACCACAAATGTTTCCACATCTGATAAAAGAGACTTGAGAAGGTAAGTGATGACATACTGTCTGCTACTGTGTTCTCCTCAAGAGGTGGATTGTCGATGCCAGGCTCGTCTGTCCACGTGGGAAGGGCGGGAGAGGCGAAGCTCTGCTCAGCTGGCACTATTCCCTGATCTGCATCCGAAGACAAACTGCTGGGCTGTTCCATCCCACCGGGACTGCTCTCGCCCTCTGCTTCTGCTTGCAGCTTGCTCGATTTCCTTCTCTCCAGAGCAACCCTTCGATGAGAAGCCCCAGGACATCTGTGAAGACAACATTTATGCCATGCTTCAAGCCTGCGGCAACGTTTGTAGCATAAAATGCCCAAGTACTCCACCAAATGAAATCAACCTTCTTCAAAGCTGCAGCTTTAAACTAACAACAAAAAATATTACACACATTTAAGGCCAAAATATGTTTTGGTGGACAGAACCCCAGAACAATACCAACTTCTTCACGAAATGTATACTACGTAGTTTTGTGGCCATGGGCTGGGTGTGCTGTAACACCTTCTGAATGTGGACTGACTCTGTTATATACATTACAGTTTCTGGAAGGTAACTTTGCTGAAAAGATTAAACAGGACTGTCAGACAATTCCACAGAAGAGAAGCTCCATTCAAAGACACATTTGGAGGCCCACGGAGGCAATCTCCTTTCACCTAAGCAAGCCAAGAGAAGGAAGCATCATATTTTCCTGCGGTCATCTGGCAGAGGAAAGAGATGAAAATTTTATCCATATTGCAATCTAAGTATTAAAGTACTGAAACAAAATATGCTTGTCTAGGAGCTTGTATGAAAAGTTTAGCAAAAGTAGCAGCTGGGCTCATCATCTCCTCTTGAATCAGTAGAAGGTGTTCCATCTTCCTGTCTGCCCTTTTTTTCTTCCTGACTTCACAAAGGAGGTGCAATTTTTTGCTCTCCCTCATGTAACAATGCTCCATCAGCATTTGGTGCTTTTCACTCTACAATAATTTCTGTGAGTTCCCATTATTCTGAATGCAATGATTTTTCTGCTTATGTTTAAAATCCTACAGTATTTATTACAAGGAAGGGCTGCAATGTTGCAAGTTCACGGGAAGCCTTCATTTATCTAACGGTCTCACATTTATGTGTAGATAATTGAATGTGGACATCAATCTTACATCTGCCTGTGCGACAGTTTTGCCAGTGTCTGATGTGACACCTCTTACGGTATTTGATGTCCTTTCTAAAGTTCCTGCTTCTGGAGCTGCTGACCACCTAAAGATGCTTGTTCTGTAGCAGTGTCAGAAAAAAGGAACTGTGTTCTTGAAAGGACTCCCTGTTCGGGAACTTGACAGATTGTTCCAACAAAAGAAGAAATGATTTATTTTTGCAACAGGAGAAGAAATGTGTTAACAGAGTAAAAAGACAGCAGAAGTCTAATGATGTCCTAACTTGTTAAACCAGAATGTTTTGAGAATCACAATTCTGTTCTGACATTCTGTGAAGGGGATTTGATAATTATATGGTTAGACTGTTTCAGCATGATGGATTTTGAGGAAATGTTAACAAAGTTGTTCAGCTCCAAAAAATGTTAATAAAGTCACCCGTATAGCTTTTGTGACTTCCACCAGTGTTATACGTACATAAAATGATTAATATATATAATAATGATTTTTATATATATATATATATATCTGTCATGATATACATGTTTAGAAGAATAGCCCAAATGTGCTGTGAAATATGCATAAATACATAGATTAGAGACAGTTCACATTATGAAATGACACATTTAAGAAATCATTTCTTGGGGCTTTGCCCAAGGTGACTGCTGGCAATCTTGTTATTCAAAGTTAAAGTGCAAGCACAAAAGATGAAAATGACTTGAAAGGTTTTGCTTTGTGAAAAAGCTTCTCTGATTTTCTGATGGAACACTATCCTACTTCTTGGTTTTGCCCAGATAATGTTTACTACATAAAATCACTGGCATAGTGGGACTGATCGGCTAAGAAATCTGGTCAGTCACTATTTATTCTGTGGCCAGAGACATCCAGTTACAGGTGAAACTCAGCTTGAAGTTTTTAGCACTGACCATTTCACATAGCAAACCTCAAAACAACAATCCCAAAAGGCTAAGAAAATGGGAGATGCAATCCCTTCCCTCAAAATTTCTAAAATACTTTAACTTGATGGATTAGCCTCACACTCCCCCAAATCTTAGCACTAGCAACAGGAAAAAAAAAAAAGGACCAAATCTCCAACATCACTCACTTCTGTAGCAACACTGCAAGGAGTAAATTCTCCTACAGAGGAAACCTCTTGCTTACTGGGAGCTCTGACAGATGTGGTCTCCCACACGGATCTGCAGGAGTTTAGGACAAAGCCACTCAAAGCTGCATGTCCTTGCTGTCCCTGAACTGCTCTGCTATAGGAGAAGTGATTTTTCAGGAAACAGGTGAATGAAGAGCTCAAAGCTGACACCGTCAGAGGACCACCCTTCAATTCCGCTGAGCTTGGATGGCAGAGTCCAGCCTTCTTGGACTACTGTGAACCAGATACTTCCTTAGGTATCTTCTACCAAAGCACTCTGCTGTTGACTCTTCTTCAGCCAGCTCACAAGGCCTGTGGATCCCAAAGGACCTGGTGTAGATGGCAAAGCACACCTTGGAAATTTATTTTTAAAACTGTATCAAACCAGAACAGAACAAAAAAAATCACCCCGGGAAGTGTCCTATTTCTGTCAAAGCCTTCTAAACCACAGCCAGGTCCTCCTTCACAGAGCACATTCCCCCATCATTACTACCTGGCAGCTGATGAAAGCTGTCACATGAAATATAAATAGATTTGAGGTCTGGTTTTGCCAATGATATTTAACTATCATTTCAAAGGCTAATATCAAGAAATATAAACAGCCTCCTGAACATCTACTCAGCTCAGCTGAATCCTTTTTATGCAGCATGCTACAAGGCAAAAAAAGGAAAAGAGAAAAAACAGATTCTTCACCAACTTCACCAGTAATTGGAACAGACTGCAACTTTCGGCCTAGTATAGCGGAACTGCATTGCCAAGAAAGCAGTTGTTTGGTGGGGACATTCATTCACGGGATGCCAATTCCCAGGTCTTTAAACATGACATGCCACCTACCAAGCAGCAAAGTCCAGTATTGGTATTCAAGCACACTTATAAGGAGATTTTTCATTTCCATGTGCTACGTAAGAAGATTTTTATTGGCAGTAGCATGTATTATTCACAAACAGCAAAATCATACAGCAGTTGTGACAGCTAACAAGTGTCAATAAATCTCTAAAGGTGCACACCTTCACTAATACTGTTTTTGCCAAATATGTGGGATAAAGAGCATTTTGGACTAATCTTGTAACAAGTTATGTACACAGATGGGCATCTCGGGATCGAAATGAGCACTGAAGATTGGATTCCTGTATCCATAAAAACATTCTCATACAACAAATTGCATAAATAAAGGCTGAAACGTGTCTTACAGGAGCAGCATTTCATATCTACCTACAAAGCCAGAATACCTTGGCTAGGAACAAGAAGAAAGGCAGAAATGTTTTTTTTTTAGAATTTCCAGAAATTAAATAATTTCTTTCATGAATCAAGATGCTCAAGAGTAGAGATACTTAAACAACCGACTAAAGCAACTTGAGTGATGTTATTTATTGGGAAACTCAAAGGTCAGTTGTTTCTGGGATGTAAAATCCTCCTCTCCTCCCTTAGCACCAGCTTTTGCTCAATTCTGGATGGTGACAGAGTAGCTTTTACCTTCAAGTTCTCTTAATCCGTATCAGACAGAGAAGAAAAGTTTTCTCTTTTTTTTTTTTTTGAAGCCAAGTCTGCTGGGTTTCTCATTTAAAAGCTGACTTCTTGGAACAGTAGCAGCAGTCCCTCTCCGCAGATAAAAAGAGCTTTCATACAAAATTAAGATGTAGTTTACAGTGTATTCCGTGGAATAACAGCAGGGGCTCAAAAAACACATTTGCTCACTGACTGCTGAAAAGAAAGATTTCATTGTAACTTATGTCACCAGCTCCTGCCCAGTCTAGAGATTCGATAAAAGCAAACACACCAAATAGCCTGAAACCAGCTGCACTAAATCGTTTTCCAAGCAGGAGCTGAATTTAAGCAAAGACTGCGGTGAAGCAACCCAAATGCCTTTGCTATTGCTCATAAAACTTTGCCAGCAAAGTGACCTTAGCAGTAATTCTGGCAAGATTTACAGCTGCAATTCAGAGTAAAACTCGGTGTTGCTTTGGAAAGTTAAATGTTTGGGTCTTGTTTTTTCTTTTGCTAGCAAAAAAAAAAAAAAAAAAGGAAAGAAAGAAGAAAAAAAAAGAGACATTAGGAGTTACCTAGGTTTGGGAATCAGGGAAGAGTCCGGAAAAAGAAAAAAGAGTGTTTCTGTTACACATTTCTTTCTCACATCCAAGGAGCCATGTGGCTTCATAATGGAGAACAACTACAGAAGGATCCTTCAACCTTTCCAGCAATGGAAAGAGTCCATCAGACACAGAAAAACTCTGAAGCTGTCGTCTGTCTGCTTACACAGGTAGAAGAAAAGACCTGTCAAAGGAGGGTTAAATCCCAGAGATCCTCTTCAGTTCTGGTGCTCTGAAGAGCAGGGCAGGGACAGTGCTTGCAGCTAGTATGGGACTGGGTGGGAAGAACAGGACTCAGCAACACTATCACAAACACCAAAATAACTGGGATTGCCAAGAATGTGAATGATAGAATTCTGTGTCTGTACAACCAATTTTCCCATGGATCTTGTTAATCTAAATCCATATATTAAGCGTGCTGGCTGACACACAGTTAATAGCTCAATAATTTCTTCAATTCCAGAAAATGCCATCGCATATAAAGTTCAAACTTAACTTGACATAAAATTGACTTGAACGCTGGTCTCGACACTCAAATATTTGGAAAAATATCTCCATCCAAATTGATAATTCCTCTACCTTAGGGGGATATAGCGGGGAAAACTGAAGCCCAACTCAAAAGCAATACATGAACACAGTATCTAACCCTCTCATTAAAAATCTGTACAAATTTCAGAGGATGTTTTTGTACAGTGAAGTTTCTTCAGGTCTAAATAATCCATGAGAATTATCAGAATTAAAATCATTCACACGAAAGCTCAGTAATTTTTTTGTCAGATTTCCTTTTGATAAATTTACGTTTGATATTTAGAAGTGGAATTGGCGCCTACTTTACTGAATATTAACAAACTTTCTATACCAAGTGATGAGAAAAACCAGTACAACTCAGCATTACTCATATGTTTTTTTCCTTTAAATCAGATTGTGTGTATTGTGTTTAACACTGAAAACCACAGTTCCCCAGTGAATGTAATGAAAGACTGATAAATCAAGAATATTTTCTTTATGCAACAAGGTATCATGGAGTGCAATTAGTGACTGTGAGTCAAGTCTCATCTTCTTGCTGGAGCAGCTTGCAGTAAACTTACACTCCAAGGTGCCTGGTGGATACGATGACATTTTCTTCCAGCTTTTATGCTCAAGTGGAGCCAAATAAAACAACACTGGAAAACCTGACTGTGAATGTTTTTAGACAGTGAAAACTAACCAACCATATTGTATTTCTTAGAAATACAAACCAACTCATGTAAGGGCTTGCTGAGACTGGTTTATATTAACCGATGATGAAAATTATAATAAAACTGAATTTTATATTTCCTTCCTACATTTAATGATCAGTAGTAGAACTGTAAAATTCTAAAATTTTAGATGGATGCACTAATCCATATAAAATCAAACTCAAACTACACAGTTGCCGCTATCTTTTATGTCAGCAATGATAATTTACAGGTGTTCAGATGTTTGCAAATAAACTTAATTGAAAACTGTAAATCAAAGTACTCAAAATGCGTATCGGCATCCCAAGACAACAGACGGAATTGAAGATGAGCAGCCTTCTGCAGGTGAAAGCTTTTTTCCAGTCGACAAGCAGGAGAAGCTAGTGATTCGGCTCATTTGGATTTCAAAATAACCTTCTGCATTAAGTAAGTTAATATTTCATGTATACCTAAAGAGAGCATACACAGCGTTCCATGTACAAACAAATTACGTGGCCCTGTTTTAAACAGTCCTAATATCACTCAAAGAGATGGCAACCAAGGAAAATGGACTGAAGGGGTGACAGTGGGAGACCAGAAGATGAACCAGATATGTAGCAGGAGTCTTGCTAGCATTGTGCTTTTTATTAAAATCAAATCAGTTTAATATTAGGATTATAAATCGAACAAACAGTTAGGCTTCCTCACTACCCCCAAGTCATCATATAGATCAGAAATTACTTGCCTGGAGGAAACGAGCGAGAGCATAAGCTAACATGGAAACTGTGTGGAGAAATAAAAAAAGGGAAAAAAAAAAAAAAACCAAACCTAGAGAGGAAAGCTCCTCATTAGTCCCCATACCTCCCTGACATCGGTGCTGCACATGTATATATATTCATGCTGTGGGTACAACAACAAATAAAACCCAGGCAACCGCAGGCTCACCCTAGCCCGCAGGGCTGCTGCATACCCTGCACGCCCAGCGTCCTCCCGGGCTCTGAGTCCTCGGACGCCTTCGGGATGTGGGGAGGAAGAAGAACAAGCTGTTTCCAAGGCAGGCGGTGGCTGCGCTCTCCCCTTCCCTGCGGAACACCTGCCTGCACACACCCCCACACTACGCCCGACTCCCAAGCCACCCCCTCCACCCAAAGATGATCTCCAAGAGCCTCCAAACGGACAAAGGCCAAGACCTGCAAAGAAGTTCATGGGGGAGATCCATCCACCTCTCCAACGGCCCTTCCCATGCGGGTGGCCATCAGTGGCACTGGACCAGGCTGAGGGCAGGCAGAGGAGGCACACAGCTAATACCACCCTCCTTTTGGGGAGGACGACAGGAAAGGAAACCTCTCCCTGTCCCGCTACAGCCACCACCGTCCCTCCGTCTGGGCCCAGGGTTCTCCACCCCAACGTGGAGGGCTCTTTGGCCAAAGAGCTGGCACAGGTAAGACTACTAAACCATGAAACACCCTCATGAAATTGGCAACCGCTGAAGTTTATGCAGGCTGGTTTAAAAAATAAAGAAAAAAACCAAGAGCATCAAACTGAAAGATGGCAAAGCCAGGTAAGAGCAAAGCCCATGACAAAGTCATGGAAATGGAAAGATCTCATCTCAGCTGATGACCAAGGAGACCAGGGAGTTAGGACTTGTACCATCCGTTTTCGCAGAGTCACCAGACAATATGCTTGTTTTTACAAAAGCTGCTGACAAAAATGCTCGCATATTGAATTGTCCTTCCCTAGTGCCTTTTAGCTGTGTACAATGGATATGCGCAATGCTTACTCTTCTGGGTTTGATGCTTTTTCGGAGGGACAGCTACATACTTTTCTGAAACCTCTCTCTGCAAAATGAACACAGGTTTTCAAATCGCACTGAGTTGTACACAAGGAGTATTTCCTGGTAGCAGATGCAATTCACCCAAACTGGATCCTTTGATGTCAGATGCATTTCCTTTGAATACATAATTTCCTTCTCTATGTAATTCTTCACTGTACTCCTCTTGAAATTTCTTAAATCTCTAAACACTTTAAAGTTAGTTGATATAGATACGCATAATATTTTTTTAGCCCTGAATCATTAATTCCACCATATTTTAGCTTTAACATAAAAGGCACGTCCAAGTTTTTGTTCATGACTCATGTAATGAAACAGCTAATGATTAAAAATACTCTATCTGTTCATTTACCGAAAATATTCTCCAACCTACAAAGGAAACAAGAGAAGTCAAACATACCTCTCAAGCCAAGTTTAACATTTTGCCATTAGAAAAACGGCATTGCTTTACAGAAAAGAATGAAACATCTTCACATAGCAGGGTACCTCACACGCAGCACGGAGGCATTTTCTTTGCTGGAAGAACAAAGTGCAGTACTCTGCACAATATGAAGTAGCATTCTATGTGAATTTGATAATCATAGAATCGTAGAACACCAGGCTGGAAGGGACTGCAAGGACCCTCTGGTCCAACCTTATAATAATATTTCCCTTTCTCTAGCATGAGCTCCTTTCAATATTTAAATAGTTAGAGTAGGACGGCATAAAGCAGAAGAACTATAAAATTATTAACAGTTCAAAATAGGATCCTAAACAGGTAATATTGGAATTTACCTCTCTGACACAAAATCACTCACAAAAGCTTCACCAAAACTTCCCACTGGTGTGAAATGGCAAGTTTTTTACAAACCTAACAGGGTGTTGGACATGTTGTATAGCATTCAAACAAACAAAAAATCCTAGAAACTACATCATGCCTGCATGACATACCATTAATCTGTCCAGTAAACAGATTTAAAAAAAAAAAAAAAAAAAAAACAACAGAGAAAAAAAGGTCTTACAGGAGTCTTGAGAGATATCCTGTCCACCTGCCTACCTCAAAGGAGAATTAATTCTGCCATAACTGTTCCTCATAAAGGTTTTTTTAACATGTTCATAAACACTTCTGAAAGCAGGGAATACACAACCACCACCCAAGCAACCTATGTCAGTGCCAGACCATTATAAACAGTTTTTTTTCCCTCAAATCCAAACTAAATCTTTGTTCCTGTTGCACTGTTTCCTTCCTCTTTGCAGACAGAATTTCCCACCACCACTACCTTTTTTCCCCTACCATAAACAAGCCCCATCTTCTTTAACTTTTTCTGCTAAATCATGCTTTTTAGACCTCTACTGAATCATGTTGTTCTCCCCACAATTCTCTCCAAGTGTTCTTCACTATTTCTCGTGCAATGTCCAAAACAGGATCCAGTGCTCTACTTGTGCACAGTTACGGACTGACCATTTCCCAGAGTCTGCTACTGTGAATTTAAGAATGACCAACAACCCTCTCTCCCTTCTGCCCCCCAATTTCTACTGCTACACAAACTGGCCTATTAAGCATGCAAGGAACATGCAATGCAAGCATCTGCACTGCTCACCTGTTTTTGAGATGTGCCGCCAGGTCACATCGCTGCATGACTTCCTGACACACAGAAGAGAAGGGGCACAAAACAAAGAGCTTGTCTAACAGTTTATGAACGAGGATGCTGGATTTTTTGCAGAGTTTAAAATGGAGTCTTTTTCGATCCAGTGGGCAGAAATCCTTCTCCTGTAGAAAGTTCCTTAGGCACTTGTAGCAGAAAGTGTGTCCACAGGGAGTGTCCAATGGCTGCAACAAGGGCTGAAGGCAAATGTGGCAGACCAAGTCATCGTCCACTTCGTTCTGGTAGTTGTAGAGGTGGTTCTCCCTTGTCCAGTGTTGCTGGCCACACTCGAAGCACAGAGGGTTCAAGGAGGCGTTCTGCTCCACCGAAGACATGTCGTCACCTGTAGTCCCCATTGTCCAGCTAAGAAGGCTGACAGATTCTCCTCCTCATGGGATGGGGTTGCTCACGAAAAGCTCAGAGGGAAGCAACTTCTTCCAGGGTGACTTTCAGTCTTCAGTCAAGCATCATTTTCTACAATAAAGAAAGAGAGAAAAATTATTCATTTTGCATGAATTATGAAAGTTCTTGTCAGAACTTTTGACTTCTGGGTTTACCAAAACACAATAGCTAGATGGATGAAGAGAACATTCCTGCTTTCTGTAAATTTGTTATAGAAGAGAGCAAGAAAGAAATCTGTAAACATGATTCCTTTTACAACATAAATGTTTTATGGCTTCCTAACAGCTGCTGCACTGCACAGTTTTCACCTGCAAGATGACCAGTTTGTGACAGCAAGGACACCGCATTATGCAGTGTCACACTAGAAGCGTGCAATTAGCGTCTAGCACAGAAATACCCTATCGTGGAATAATGGTTATATGACAAAGTAATTAAATGTGTTCTTTAATGTGAGATTATGATTTTAATCTGGCCCCACTCTCCTTTTTGGGTTTTTGACTATTAATGTAGAATAATACCCATTAAAGATCTAAATATATTGCATTAAAAATACGAGCAACAAACAGCTTACCCTGCTCTTTCCATTAGTAATATTGCATATCTGTCACCACTTACCTTCAGGTTTTCTCTGTGCGCTGCTACACAGTAAGAGGGACTGGTTCTATCCAATACATCACATTTGATTTAGTACAGAGGCCAGTAATAAAAATATGGAATAAACTAATTCTATGAAACTATTGGTTCCAAATAACTAACATGTTTTGCTTTTTATTTAACAAAATTACAGCATACTCAGTGTGACAATAATCACATTAGTCAAAGGACTGTAGGTCTGTCACTGTTGGATTTATTTTCTAAACTTCATATGTTATTAAACTTTGTCCCTCTTAAAATAGCTGCCTGGTCAGGAAACTGTGCAGCCATCAGCCTGCAATTTCAAACACTAAATCCTTACCCCTCCCAACCCTTCTTTCCCTTACAAAATCATATTGCTAGACAGTCATAGTGGGATTATTTAGAAAATCAAACAAATTTTCTCACATTAAGAGACCTCCCCATTCTTTAGTTTTGATAAATGTTCTCATTGGTGTGTGTGTGTGTGGGGGGGGTGTGGATCAAATTTGAGCAGTGCTTACTTGGTGCCTAAATCCTTTATTGCAATTCAGCAAGCAACACTTACAACAGACACTTACTGTATTCTAGCAGAGTAGTAGCAAGCATACGGAGAAATGAAAACTGCTAGCCTAGGTACCAGCCTATCATCGTTATTTTTAGCTGCTGAAATGTAGTCGTAAATATATTCGGAAATTCATGGGGAACTCATGCATTTCACCATGTCTGTCTTTTTAAGAGAATTCCTGTTTTGGGTCTTGCTCCTTAACCTCACACAGCCAAGCACAAGACGTAGAGCACATTTTACAAGGATTATTATATCCTTTGACGCAAAAAGGATTAAATAGTAATTTGTAATCTGGGCTTCTGTTCTGCCGTGGAAATTGCCCTGCCTCGTAGTAGATAACGTGCACCTTCTGCAAAGGATTTCACAAGGGAAGAGCGTAGCAGTTCTTTGTTTCTGGAGACTAAGAATGCAAAATGAGACCCCAAAAGAGATTACTCAAAAACCAGTCTTAAATGTATTATGTAAGAGTTCAAGGATTGGAGAGCAGATAAGGAGAGCCACGCACAGGGACCTCGTGCTCAAACTGCAGCGCTCCCACTCTGCGTTCATGCTGCTGGATTAACGCAGAAGGGATGTTGTGACCCATCTAACGGCTGTTCTTTATGTAATGCAAAATAAACCAGATAAATGTTCTAGAAAAACACTGCACTGATCTGTGACTTTATAAAATTATTTTGCTGCTTAGGGCACCAGGAGAGGAACAAGCAGTGTGCGTTGTATTCTATTTGGGGGTACCAACAACAACAGGCAAGGCAGAGAAAAGGGACATGCAGAACAGGCAGAGAAAGCCATTTGAAGAGCGTGTTGCCCAAATGCTAGACCCAATCCTACTACTGACTGTGACCAGGATTATTCCTCTTTCCCCAAGTAACCAAGGTCCCGAGAAAGGAGCAAGTCCTACATCAGCAAGGCTACAGAAAAACCCAGGGACCATTCTGTGTGCTGCAGTTATGGAGTGCTGGTTATGCACCCCTGACTGAGCATCCTGGAGTCACCTTCTGGAAGGCTTCTAGCATTTCCATCCTTTGAAGTCCCCATGGCTCACACAGCAGTCCGCTACAGAGCACCAGGCAGTGTCATAGAGTAAATATACCCATGAGATACTTGCTGTAGTCAAAGATACCTGCACCCCCCTTTTAGAAGGCTGTAATTAAATCCTTTTGTGTGCTAAAATTTTTTTAAATATCTTAATATAAATTTTGAACAAAAAGTAACGTAAGAAAAGTTATTGAGTAAACAGGCTTTCACAGTCATGTATTAAACTACCATGACAAGCATTCTTTCTTAGGAAAGGTATATCCAGAGACGAGCTCTATTTACTGAAATCACAAGTTTGTCCTCAGTGAAACACAGGCAGTCACTCTCTGTTGCCCACCGCTGAAGGAGATGAGCAGACCCATTCCTACGGCTGCCCCATCCCGGTGTCTCACCGCTCCTGGGGCAGGGATGAGTGCCCTTAGCTGTGTTTGCTGCGAAGGTGCCAGCTCAGGCCAGGGGAAGGCCACTTCTGCCAGCAGCTGACACTGCCCCAAGCTTTTTCTCAGCACTGCCAGTGCCCTGTTAGCTTAAACCATCAATAAATACCATATAAACTCCCCCCACCATCTTTTCTGCAGCTGACATTGACCACCTTTCCACCACCTCTCTGCGGGCAGAGCTGCAGGAGAAATAGATAGTGGATTACAACAGGAAGATTTTTAATAATAAAATAATCATAAAAAAAACAAAACAACAAAAAAAAAAACAAAACAACCACCAAAAAACCACTGCCACCACCTGAAACGCCCACAAACCACCAAACCACAACCAAAAAAAAAAAAAAACATTGAGATTTCTTCACTTCCACACTGCTGTCTGCTTCCTCCACTGCTGTGCTGCTTGCGGGGCAAGCCTGTTCCTTCCATGACTGAGGAATCAGTCACCAGGATTTGTATTGATTATATACCACAGCTGCCTAATTATCAATTCCAAGACTTGTTACAGGCTATTCCCAGTGCAGAATATCACCTGATTTACAAAGTCCACAAACACCGTATTTGTGGTCTAGGCAACAATGGGGAGAGCAGGCAGGATCTAAATTTCACTGATGTAAAGCACTATATCCCTGAAATCCACAATACCAGAGCACTGTCATTTATAATACCCTATTTCAACCCCCTTTATGTATCACTTGTATCACGTGCTGTATCTCTTATCACTACAGATCACCAGCTCCACAAGACGGTATCAAGCTCAGGAAAGCTGCAAACAGGAAAAATAGTCAGAATTATAAAAAATATAAAGAGAGTAAAAGAGCCAGCCAGGCCTGTTATTCAAGTCATATAATTCCCTAGGAAATAATTCTCCCAGGACTTCATTACAACATCCAAACAGTGCAGGTAGTGCCCTGCTTTCAGTTTTAAATCACCATTCACTTGGGAATTAGACAAGACTGGACATCCAACTGTGTGAATTTTTCTTTTAACTGGACTGTGCATGACAGTGATTTTAGACTGAAAAAGACAGCCTTATCCTTAGGCCTCCTCTAGTTCTGACTTACTGACTCAACTAGCATTCTCTGAAGAAGCTCGACAAATTTTTACAAAAGCTTAAGATGTCAGGCTTTATACCTACATCAGATTTCACAGTGTTTATTCCTTCTGTCTGGGCACTATAAAAAAACCCCAAACCACAAGCAAGCTGGAATTGTAGCAGTAACTTAGCCTTTTTAATATGGTACTATGGTTGTCGTTTTTTACCCGAGTCACAAATAATTAACACTAGTTTCAGTTTGAAGTTAATGGAAATATGTATTTTGCAATAAAAGCTCTCAGAGGTTTAAGTAATCTATTTCTAAATTTTCATATTAAAATCCTGGAGATTTAGAGCCCATTAACTGACTGTTCAAAATTTTCCAACAAAATCTGACTACACCCCAGAAGCAAATAACTAAGGAAAATACCCATCTTACCAACTAATTTCTCTAAAAATTATCTTTAATATACCACACTTTCCTATTTTGTTCACTACCCTATGCAATCTCCTCAACCAAAAGCAAAGGTCAAAAGAATACCCTTTGATGAAGGTCACCGCTGTTCCCTTGCCGGACTCCGGTGTCCCTGTATCCCAAAACAGCTGGGATGCAGAGCTTTCACTTCTGCAGCTAACAACTCTCTACGCCACAACGGACATCTCACTGAGCTGTATCTAACCACTGAATCAATGTTTAATTTATACCGTGTAGCTCAAACCAACTGCAGGTGACAAAACGTCCACCTGTATTTCCTCTCAATTCGAGGCCACCAGGTGCTGGCGGCTGCTTCTCATCCCAGAAGGCTCAAAATTTTGCTGCCTGCTGGCAGCACAGGAATGCCTCGGCACATCTCTTTATTATCCCCCCACAGTGGGGAAAGGAAGGGCATGGAGAGAAGTGGTGAACAGCTACAGTGAAGGTTTCATATGACCCTAAACTCAGGCAGTCCTTTCACGGTCAGTCAGATTTGTACTGGCAAGGCAACACATAACATGTATCAATCAGTAACTCTGAACAGTGTGGTCATCACCCTGGATTTCGGGAAAGGTTGGCTTAATTTTAGAAGGTCATGGGATTTCTGAAGTCTGTTCTCCATGGCCACAGCACCTGAGCACCCAAACCAGATAGGACGGATCTCTTCCCCTGCCTTGTTCTAACACCAGGGCTGTGAACGGGATCTCTCAGCAGCCAGGAGTGGATTAACACAAGCCCCAGGAAACTAGAGAGTGGTTACATCCATTGCTTAAAACCACATCATAAGCAATTAAATATTATTTCTTCATTCCTAGTCCAGTGTTCTTCATAGGAATTACAGCATCCGGCTGATTCGCAACTGTTTTCAAAGCAGACACTAGCTCGAGTGGAAGAATAAAAGATAGC